TATTTAAATAGAATCAAGGCTCCTACAGCTTTTGACCAGTTAAATTTTACACTACTTAACTGGCTATGGGTTTCAATCATTTTATAGAGGTTGCATGCACAGAGAGCAATTATATAATTTAATAGCTAAACATAACAACAGAAAATTGTGTATTACCAATAGAAAATTCCATCTTTCCATGACATTTCAAGATTTTACGAATTTCTCTGACATTTTCAGGCCTGGAAATGACAATATTAAAATTTCCAGATTCCCTTCCATAACTCTGGAAACACCATAGAATAATTCCTCTTGGCAAACAAATTCTGGTGAAGCCCAGATCTCTTAAGCATCAAAGTCTTTTCATTTGAGCAAATGGATCTGCAGGTTATGCCTCCCACGAGTCCATCATGCTTCTTCTGACTGACAATTCATAACGCTTTCTGCATCGATTCTTTCACATGTAAACATCCGCCAATCACTTCATTTATGCGCCATTATTAACCCTTTAACTGTAACTACAAACACTTATTTTACTGGAAAAAAACCTAGCAGGTCAAATAAATTGTTCTTGCACTTCTATTTTAATTCTGACCTTTATTGAATATAAATATTGACCGCTGATATATTGCCTAGGCTAATATCTCTAATATGAAGATGTTTCTTCTTCTCTACCTTTAATGTGAGGAAGTTCAAAAAGACCCAAATAAGATGGTTTCCTGCAAAATGACACTAAAGGTGGGAATTTAACCATCACAGATCAGAAAAACAATGGTTTACATGATTAACCTGCTACCAAACTAAGATCTACCAATCGGCTAAAACACTTAAAGATTAAGGAATACATGCATATTTTGTTTTTAACTGATTAATTACATGACTAGCCTAACAGCTTAGCAGACAATTGTTGTGCACACGAGACTTCTTATGGCATCTGCCGGAATGCATAATAAACAAGCAAGCATGGGTCCAGTATAAACAATAGACTACAGTAAAAAAAATTGAAGGTATAGTGCACGTCGGAGCACAGAAATGTCGAATATCAGTGATGCAGGTGAAGCACGCATACAGAACATTTCAGGCTTTTACTTAATTTTTGAGTATCATGTTATAGTAAATCGTAAAGTGCAAGTGATATTATAATTTGTAACGCTATCATTATACATCTCATAAAAAATATTCTAATCGTTTATCATTCATAACTTTATTTTTCAGGTCCAAATTTCTAAATAAAAGATTATACGTTAGATTCAAAGCACAAGATCATAACGCAAGGTCATCTGCGGTGATAGCAAGGATGCGTAAACGCAACGAGCCATGTTTTTTAATGTTTTGGTACGCACTCATAATATTAGCCTATATATATTTAGGAATACACAACCGCTTTATTCCATACATAAGCCGTTAATTTAGGAATACTGAGGATGTGTTTGGTAAACGACTATCGTAGGTGCGTAAACCTAGACGCAACCACCAATTCTGGGCCACTTAAAATGGACGCTAACTGTAAATATGAATATAATCCCAGATGCACATGTCTGGTGAAGCATGACCGCGTTAGATGGTGAGACGCTCCGTGGAAAGCGAAAATTTACATCAAAGCACTTGTCTTTGGGAAGAGTCGCTAATTCATTGGCAAATGAGTTGCCTATCTAGGTAACGTTTGGGTCTTACCTCCTGTGTTTGTGCGTTTGGTGCTGCTGGCCTCCGTTGGGGTCTCCAGGGGTCTTTTGCGGGAATCGGGGGGATCAGACTCCATGTGCGGCTGCTGATTGTGATGATGTGGATTGGAGAAAATCCCGTTTTGCTGCACTGCCCCACCGGCCATCATTTTTTATAAAGAAGCTCGCTCTCGTTTTCCTAGACGTGATACGCAGATATGGTCGTTTGAATGTGATGTTTGGGGTGCGTCGATCCTCCGTAGCAGCCTAGATACAGAACGAAAGACGCATCGATATCCAGTAGCTCGATTATGCTCAAGTGATGTGGGGAAACGTCCTCACTCGTGGCTTGCGATGGCGCTCTCCTGCTGGAAACAATCTATGACCTCAGTGGTCAGCAGAACTCAAAAGATTCACTGCTAAAAACTGGGAAGATGTGCGCGGATAATAAACAGCAACGGGAAATGTACAAGAGGCGAGAGACAAAAACAGCGGATCCCGCATGCAGGTGGGCAAACCCTGCAGATAGAGCTGGATGGACGAGCGCTTGGAGGAGATGCGATGTTTTTGTAGGCTCTGACTCGGAGATGCTGCAGTCTTGCTTTCAGAGCATCTTTGCGCGTTTCTGCTGGAGCTCAGGACAGCGGGTGACGTCATGTGGAGCCGAGACCGCGGCTGTCAAATGTGGAGAAGCAGACACGCCCACCTCGAACTGTGATTGGTCGAGGTTTGATTTTTCTCCGGCAAAGCGATGTATAAATCCTGCTTGTCACATGACAATACAGGAGGTGGTGGCGGTGATGAAAATGCGAGAGCATCATTGTAAAATAGGCGCAGGGATGTAAAAAATTAAAATGCGCAGCTCGTCTCTGTCTAATCCAGAATTATACGACAGTATATTTTTATTATTAGGCAATAATAATTATTATATTATTATTATAATTATTGTTATTATTGTTATGTGACTTGTACTTTTATTTATTATTATTATTATTATTATTGTATTGTTAATTTTTGTTATTTTATTTATTTATTAA